AGGATGACTTAAAAGCTCGGGAGGCACCTCGATATTTATATTCCGCGTCTGGGTGGTCGCGGCCTACTTACAATCCTTTACTGACTATGTATCTGCCATACTAACGCTTCAGTGTCTTAGGAGTGCGAACTCCATTTGACCCTGAAGACTAATTTCTCCGCTCTCTTTCTGAGTGGAGTGATCAGCTCCGTCAAAGGACTTATCAATGACTCTTCTATGTGCATAGCTTAGAGTGCATGACAAAGATAACTAACTCGACCAGTGAGTAGTTGATAACTAATCATAACTAGGTCTTCCGGATGACTCTAGCTTACGCGAGCTGTAGGGACATGCATATTACTTCTTGTAATTGCATATAGACTTGCAGAGGTCGTAGCTCCATAACTAACCGACCAATCTAAACCAACTAAGTCTTATCTTATAGAGCGGAGCTCCTTCTATGTTATCCAGCGAAAACCCCTCGGTCGCATGCCTCGTATCTCCGCGGAGCAGGCTGCATAAATGCCTTATCGTATCGTGCGCTAATATCTTAGCGCTACGAATACTGTGGCGGGGCCCGGAGTCGAACACGTGACCTTATGCATTTTAGTCACATGCTGCACTGATTACGCTTCTATGTGTAACACAATCATACCAAGTCAGCTACTCAGTCCTCATCATTCATTCAACTCCCAGATTCAGCAGTGATCATTGAGCAAGAAATCAGAAATGGGCTTCTTGAAAGGTCCACTGTTGAGCTCAATGGAAGCTTTCTTTTATCAGAGACTACTGATAATAATAGTGAAGATAATGCCTCCAAGCATCAAACCTCTACTCCTCTACCATTACCAGTTATCTCTACTGCGACTGCTATTCAATACATTACTGAGCTTCATCGTTTTTACCAATCTCTTCCTGTCACCCATCTACCAAATCCAGATCCTAAGATAGCTAAACTTGTTGTCTCTAAGCTTGTCAGTCAGGCAGAAAAAATAAAGAAATGTCTTATCAAGTTTGTTTCCCACTTATTTGATTTTCTAGTTACTCATTTGATTTTTAGACATTGAACAAGTCGACAAACAAAGCAATCATCCTTCTCACAGTATTTTCATCCATCCCTTCAAGGCCCCATCACCCGCTCCCGATCAGTCTTGCCTTCTTATAATAGGCTTAGTCAACTACAAGAGCTTTCCTTAGATTTGGAATCCGAAAATGGGGAGGAAATCCCTGGCGGTAAAGAGATTGCTGGTTGGGAAGACAATAGTGCAGGCTCAGATGAGGGGGAACATTTCACTTGTGTGCCTACCCGGTGGACCACAAATGGCATCAATTATGCCTTTGAGCAGCTATGATGTGAGAATTTAGGGTTGGATTGGGGAGAAATCCGGGACAGTGAATATATTTTGTATGTGAGCAGGAGTTAGAAATATCTGGATTTGCATCCTGTCCAAAAACCCCCCAATATCCGGGACAGTGAAGGGTATTTCTATGTAGCTCGCCCAAATCTTGAAAAATTATCCGTGACAACGAATAATCCGGGAGAGTGAGGTCCGGGACAACGGGGTGCGACTGTACTCGAGGCTGGTGATCTCACGCAAGTCACCTTGACCAGGGGAAGCGTTTCGAAAAGGTAGGTTTCCTCCCTCATATCGACTTGTGCGGCCGAGTTGAAGTTGTACTTCGTACGCCAAATGCCGTTATTAAGTTAGGTGACAAAAATTCCCTGATGCTGCCCAGAAGCAACGGGAACTACTTTGATCCCCTGCGAAATACTCGAGTACAACATTGCTGCTGGGCCGCGCTAAGTTATCCACTAAATCTAAATAACAGCAATGCTCACCCGGCCAATGGAGATTACTAGTAGTGTGATGCTGCCGAGAAGGTGCTTCTAGTACGGTATGATACCGGTACTAAATCTACTCGCAGTATTGTACTCGAGTACAAATGCCAATGTGGGTGTGCCAGGGACAGTCTGTGACGAGCGGCGATTGGGTAACAGGCATTTTTTGGATTTCTCTACCCTAATAATTTTCTTTCACACTACCGACTGGTACATACCGGTATTGTCGGACGGGTGCGGTAGGTGTCATCATGGCGAGACTGGAGATGATTGGCTGGCCGCTTACCCACTACCATACCAAAGACCTTATCTAACTTCATGTGGACTACCGGCAGTGTGCTCAACAATAGAGAGTTTGCGCAGTGAGACCTAGGTGGTGTTAATATAAGTTAACAATAAGGCTTGGCCACCTGGTTCTTTGGTCCCACCTGGTCAAGGTGTAAAAACCCGAAAATCGGACCTGGAATTGAGGACCACAAATGCCCACTTGAACTGCACTTTTATGCCTCTATTCAGGTATGATTTTGTAGCTATTCTTCTCAAGGACAATCCTGAGAAGAGAAACTTCATGAAAGTTAAGAATTGGCTGATGGATTGACCTCTTAAATACATGGAATTTAAGAAACTCAACAATTGCCGGGAGTTTGATGGGCTGTTCATGCGAGTGGCAACCCCTAGTGACATCGTTGATAACTCCCACCTAGGTCTACCTGCGCAAACTCTCTAATTGCATGGAACAAGTCTGGCTTGGGGTGTGCGACCACAACTCGGCCGCATATGCAAAAGTACTGTCGAGTTGCCTCTCGCCAATGATTCCTTATGGATATCAGAGTCGAATTGCTACAGGAGACTAGATATAAGCTCGAGAAGGCAGTGTTAAACGTGGAATCGGCGGAGACGATGGCGACAGTGATACGAACGGCGAGACGGCGAGATAGCGCACGGCAAAACAGCGAAACGAAACGCCAAGCGTTCACACACGAAACCATCGCGCAACTCAAGAGCGGGGAAAATCTCCACCACACATGCTCCCCCAATTAACGGTAAAGACAGGAGTGTATATCAAAAACAAACCAAGTCCTTCTTTCCTTCCATGGACTACCGCACATGTCCATGCTATTCCCCCTATGCCTCCCCTTCCGCTTGCTCCGACTCCCATGCTGACAAAGGAAAGACAAACTCCCACTCGCCATAGCCTCCTGACATCGACTTTCCCGCCTTCCTCACAGCCTTTCCGCTTTCCTTCCGGCGGATGCATTGATCCAAAACTTCTGCGCATTCCCGCAGCCCACATGCTTTCCCGAAAGCCAAAAAAGCATGCGCGAAGGCAAAGCGCGTTCCCAAGACTATACAAACAAACTATCGTGAGAGCATGCCGAGAAGCACCTCGCGATTTCCAACAGGCAGGGCTCCAGATTGCCAGACACATTCTACAAAACGGGCACACCCATAGCAAGGATATTCTCCGGATTGCAGGGGGTACGTACGGAGGGCAAGGAAGTGCTACTGTCCCTTAATGTATTCGCAAGGGCGCCCTTCTCGGAGTGGATAGGTTTCCAATCAAAGCCTATCGGGATTGTTGTGAGAGAGTTTGTCGAGAACCACGAGATAGTCGCCGCAGCGAAGACTGAGCAATGGTGAGTTGGCCATCGGGGAGGGGGGAATGGTGGATAGGACCATGCTCCCCGTTCTCAGGCTGGAATGGCTCTCCGAGCTTTGAGGCAGCTAGGGCTATGATGGTATGAGATTGTTTTAGGCTAGAAAACTCTGAAAACTTTGGCTACCGACCTCCTATCTGGCCCAATATACGAGTTCAAGTCGTGAACATGATGACCTATAAGAAAAAGAGAACCTTGAATCTATGCCCCAGCCATTCCCCTCTCCCATCGACCATCCCTGGGCCCAAGTAGGGTCCATTTCCTACCCCCTTCTCTCCCACACCAGGCGATCTATATTCCTACTTTAGTAATAGTTCACACGCCCAAAAGCTATGAATTCGGGAACAAGCAAAGGGATAGCCAGAGCTCACACACTCAGGGTGGTTTCATAGATGGTAGTTGTTCGTTTGGTGTGAATTTTTTTTTCCGCTGATCCCATTTATATTGACTAAGTTATGGAGCCTCCGAGGTGTTGTAGAAGGTGGTGATCAAACCTTCTAATACAGTACGGTGACTAGGGTAGAGCATGAGCGAACCTGACCCTGCTCAAGCCCACTGCGAGCTCAACACAACCAGACAGCAGGATGTTTGTTGACTGGGAATGAAGGAGAATTACGAGACCGAGTGATAGCTCAAGTCCAACAAAGCTGCTGACGGTTAGTGTCTCACATAGAATCTCCACGTACTCGTACAATTTTCGCACACCTCCATACCCGGCATGAACAGTGCTGCCAGCCGTCCGGTCCCTCCCGGACAGGGCGAAGACGGTGAAAGACGAGGTTGTCTTGTCTATCTATGGATGGGGTAGACGACCTTTGCGCCATCTTGGACACGGTGGACGGCAGTTGAATTGAGTAGAATTGTCGAGAGCGCATCTGGCAACCCAGCTAAGGACCGGTATCATAATTACCCAATCCCGGACGGCGTCATCCCCCCCTTTTCCCTCTATCCTCTCGCATTTCCTCACATCTTCTCATCCCTCCTTCTGCCCCCTCGCTTGCTTCCTCCAGCCCTTGGATCATGATCGATAGCCCCCTACCTCCGCCCTCCACATCGCGGGGTCCCGACCCAAACCGCAAACATTACACCGCTCCGGCCCCATCGGTTGATTTCGCGCGCTCGAATAACTCTCTCGACTGGAGACACGCATTAATAAAATGGCTATCCTTCGCTTGCGCTATTGTGAATTGGTGTGTGGGCCCGGCTTTCTCTCCTTGTTCTGGTTGTTGAGTTGAATTGACGCGTGGAATGGGGCAGTTTGTGCGCCGGGAGCATATTACTGTTCTCTCTCTGGGCTCCTGTGTTCCAGCGGAGACTCGGGTATTCGCAAATGCAAGTAAACGCCATTTCCATCGCGGGCGAGCTCGGGATGTATCTACCGTGAGTGTTCGCGATCCTTTCCCCAGGCTCGGTGCTCCCACTGACCAATCCGTCGCAGTGTCCCTATTTTCGGCTTCATTTGCGATGCTTACGGGCCCGCTAAACTCAGCTTGCTCTCTTCCACCTTTTTTGGCCCAGCCTATCTTCTTGCATCGCGTGCTTTCGTGAATCAACTCCCATACCCGGTCATGGTATTGGCGTTCGTGTTTATCGGCATGGGCACTAGTAGTATGTATTTTGCTGGAGTAACAACTTCAGCCAAGAACTTCACCGGCAACAGAGGCTTAGCCCTAAGCTTGCCCATCGCAGCATTTGGGTTGAGTAGCTTGTGGCAATCACAGGTTGTTGGTCGAGTATTCACTGATAAGACTACTGGAGAGCCGGCGATTCCTACAATCTTCGCGGCTTATTCCGCCTTCTTGCTGGTTATCGGTATTCTTGGTGCATTGGGATTGAGGGTTATTAAGATTGGCGAGGAAACCCCTAAAACCGAAGAGCGAGAAAGCCTCTTGGAGGGGGGGCAAAGCTCTGGCGCCCAGGGTTATGGTACAACCGGGGAAGCAGCTGTGGGTGAGGAAGAGTCGTGGAGGCGACAATTTATCAATAAGGCGACACGGGAATTTCTCACTGACCATACAATGTGGCTTTTTGCCGCTGGAGTGTTTCTTGTGACGGGACCCGGTGAAGCGTTTATCAATAATGTACGCTCCTTCACTCCCCCTATCGGCCGAATGACTAACAGGGATTAGATGGGGACCTTGATTACAACTCTATATCCTCCGCCGTCCACAGTTTCCCAGGCCAGAAACCCCATTGATCCTGCAACTCATGTCTCAATCGTTGCGGCCACTTCTACTATCGCACGTGTCGTGGCGGGAATTCTTTCAGACTACCTTGCCCCCCTTGTTCCTGCATCCGACTCCTGCCCTTCTCCTCTCCGAAAATTCCCACGCTGCTCGAGGATGTATTTACTATTCTCATTTGCACTCCTTATGTTGCTTGGTAACCTCTATGTTTCTCTCGGGTATGTCCAGGAGCATGGAGAGAACTTTTGGATTGTCTCTTCGTCTATTGGCGCCGGCTATGGTGCAGTATTCTGCCTTGCCCCTACCATCGTCAGTGTGGTTTGGGGAACCGAAAACTTTGGCACAAACTGGGGAATCGTCACCATGACTCCTGCTGTTGGCGCAACAGTATTTGGTTCGATATTTGCCTGGGTGTACGGTCATTATTCCAACAGCCACGGCGTGTGCTGGGGCAAAGAGTGTTACAGCGGTTCGTTCATGGTCATGGCAGTGAGTGTCGCTTGTGCGTTGGTGGGATGGACTGTCGTATGGCAAGCACCTAGCGGATGGAGAGCTAGGGGAATTGTTGTCTAGAACGAACGGAACGCCGACGGGTTTACTGTAACATTATCGATCGTTAGGAACGGACTAGAAGTCATAGGATAAGGATTAGATGTGTGAAAAACCTGCATTACATGGTCTACTTTTTACGTTGTTTTTTCTTAAGTTTTCGGATTGCATTTCTCTTCATACCACGGAATTTGGGTCTTTCTTTCCACTGGCGTTTTCCTATCTTTTCTATTTTTTACAGGACAGAAGATACACATACATTGCGGGAAGAAACGGGGGCATGCGTCTTATAGATGAGAAAGAAGGGAAGATACGATATTGCTAACTCAGATGACATTACATTTTCAACCTTGGAGCGTTGCGATCCCGGAACTTTGCCTTCGTGAAGCCCCACATGAACTCAACACTCGATGGCCACTCTAGTTGAAGTCAAGTATGATACCGGTAATACGATATCATACGTGCTCTGCCTCCTGCCCCATACCGACTCTACCCTACTCACCCACCTCCCCCACTTCAAGCAATGCAGCCGGCGAGCGACCCATTGCCACCCATTCGAACGGGAGCGCTACTCAGTTCCCCTGGAGACGCGACCGGAGCGAAGGGATAAGCGGCCGGGGGGAACTCCCACGGCAATGAAAACGGTGGCAGGAAGTAACAAAGTAGAATAGCAAACTCCCAGACCAAAGGAAAGGTCTAGTAACAGGATTCCCAAATCACCCCATTCGAACGGACGAGACATCAAGACACGACGGAGCAGCTTGGACGATTATCATATCACGCCTTGGAGTTTCATGCCTCAATTGGAGATACGTATGATGGAAAGTGCCACTTCACCAGGGTTTGGCTTGAATGCTCGTCGAGGTTGAGGTGCGACCTCGAATGTCAGATCCACTCCTTAGGTCTGGTGGATGGGCAGGTGTGTATGGTAGGTATTTGACGAGTTTATCACGAGTAAATTTGCGGTTTATCCTGTGTGATATCATACAAGTTACACGACACCAGTGGGTGGAAGTTGAGTTGAGGATCTGGAAACCAGGGTTCTGGTATAGAGTTTTTGCGCTTGATCAGTGGGATAGAGATTGGGTGCGGTGTGGTTAGGTCGGTGGTTAGGGGTCGAGGGTCGTCGCTCGGGGTGCGGTTGAATTTTGGGAGGGGGCAGGGGGGCTCCTGGTGATTGCCATGTATCAAAATTCTTCACTACTTTGTTCCAGTAGCTCTCCTTTTTTCTTTTTCTTTTTGATATTCGCTACTTGGACGTATCCTACTTTAGATACAGATACCAAAGTACTAGCACGATAGCGTTCATTCCTTCACCGGCTATATTCTCAATTAAAAGTTATTCCGCATGCGCCACCGGATCACCGATTCTCCAAGTTTATAACAGCCAAAAGTTTACCAAAGTTTACCTTCCATCACTGCTCCCAATCTACCTAGGCACTCCATTCCCCTCCTCCCTAACCCTCATCTCCTCCTTCCCCCTCCCCCGCTCAATCCTCCTCCTCGCGACCAGCGCACAGAGCGGGAACAGCAAAACACTGACGCAGACCCAAGCAAACAGCACTCCGAAGACTCTTCCAATCTCACTCTTGACATCAAATACAATGCTCCGAGTGGCCTCCACAATGTTATGCAGCGGCCACGCATACCCAAACCTGTAAATCCCGGGCGCGAGGACGAGCGGATAGAAGGAGGTGGAGACGTTTGTGATGGCCCAGAATATCAGCCAAAGGGCGAACCACGGCGGGCCCAGGACCATGGACATGTTTTCTGAGGGAAGGCCCAGGGAGGACATCCCGACCCAGTTTAGCATCCAGTAGACTGGAAAGCTGTAGCTGCTTGCCCCGCCCGGTGTTGTTTGCGGGAGGGAAGGGCGAGAGAAAGGGATCTGGAAGGAGAGGGGGACGAGGGAGTAGGCGAGAGAGAGGAAAAAGTAGGTTGTTAACGTTGCTGCAAGGCGCCAGACGAGCCATTGGGGGAGGGAGAGGGGGGGCGTATCTTCTCCCTTAGTGAGTGATTGTCCGTGAAGGTGTTTGGGGGGGTGGAAAGTTACCGTCACTGGGGATTATGAAAGCTTGGTGGATGGGTAGGTAGAAGGAGAAGGAGAAGAAGGAAAAGATGATCAGGTCTGTCCATACCATCAACACTAACTTGCCCACCCACTTCATCATACCGCGGGGGAGGGTGAGGGGGGAATACATAACAACCCAACACTGACCGCCGGGATAGCAACTGGCACGTCAAACGGCCTCAAATTTACCATACGAAATCCAAACCCAGGATTCACCGCCAAAGGCACCCTGACCATATTCCTCCTCAAGCCTTCATCGCGCACGGCCTTCGGTATCCAAACTTCCGAAAACCCACGCACGACTTCACTCTTGAGGTCGTCCAAATATGGGAGCAAATCTGCCGCAATATACTCGTCAACCTACCCCGGTCTTTGAAGGCAGAAGTATCAAAAAAAAAAAAAAAAGGGCAAACAATTTCTGGTAACGCTCTCATCCCTCGCCTCGGCAAAGACAATCTCAGCAAGGGAGTCAGGATCAAAGCTTTCATCCCCGCTCCTCAGTGCATCTTCTAACCTCCCTGTTGCATTGCGAGTGATGGATATAGCAGCCCAGTGCTCTTGCTCATACACAACCCTGCGAACTTGCATTTCCCCATCAGGGTATTCGTCCGGGGGCTTGACTATGTACCCTAAACGTGGCGGTCGAAGATTATTCCGGCTTTCGGCGGCACGCAGGACCGCTGGACCGATGAGCGCAGCTTCGTGAGTTGGGGAGTCAAAGTCCACCACTATAACGCCTAGGACGGGGAGGTTTTGGTAAGTGCGTGACAGGACGCCCCAGACTTTGACGCCGCATTGCACTTGTTGTCAGTAGATGCGGGAAGCCTGGCGATAGGTTGGGATCGTACAGAGGGATAGAAGAGCCAGCATAAATACTCCAATTAATAATGCTACCATCTCCCATCAGCCTTCCCCGTTTCCTTTCCTCCTTCCCTCACTCCGCTCGGAAGCCCAGCATGCGCGGATTGGATAAACATACTCATACCAGCCCACTTCTTGATAATCCCATTCCTCTTACGCCGAATAGACCTGTCAAAAAAGCCGACAGCAGCCTGGGTCTTTTTTTGAGTCTCGAGGGTCGACATTGCGTACGCTTCGGGCTCCAAGAAGGGGGAGGGGGATACCTTATGAGCATATCCTGTTAGTGGTCTAGCCTATGACGGCACTGCGTGCGGAGTGGACAGCGATATCCGGTGGTTTTAAACAGTGGATCGGGTTAGTGGTCCTGGGTCATCGATCAAGACGCATGAAGGGATGGATGGTTGACTAAGTTAGTTGGTGAGGAGAGCGGGCGGAGGAGTCCCGATTGCTGGAGGCTGTACGGTGGTACTGGCACTGGTGCTGAATAGTGGGGACAGACTGACCAAATAAAAGGAATACTAGCATTAGGTGTTGAGAAGTTTCAAGCAGTAAGTTAGAGCATTGCTTCATGGTTGCTCGCCAATGTTTTGTGGCTTAAACTGTATCCGACGGATCGGGTATGACGGTGGGGAGAACAATTCCGAACAAAAACTGGATGCGCTGCAGAGGACAGGAGAGGGGGTCGCATGAAGGCCGATTACAATCGGCCGGCACAGATGCAGGAGATATGGATAGAGGATGTTGGGAGAGGTTAGTATTTACAGATACCGCCGTTCATATATTGAAGGCAACGATAGGCAAACAGGATCTCAAGAATATACTCTAGCACCCTAACCTAGTGCCACACCACCCATTAAACCCCAAGCATACCCATCAAAACGCCAACCCATTGCACCAAATACCCATTACTGCTCCCACCGTTTTTCCCGAAACAGAAAAAGAAATACATGGTCCACAAGAATAGAGATAAACCGAAAGCCCACATACGACCAACTCAGCACCCATTCCCAGGCTCAAGACTCTGCCATGAGAGTACATGTTTCCTCCCCTCCCTCCTATGGGGCGTCATATTCGGTCTCATAACAGGCCTGTCTCCGCCTCGTAAAGTCTCGTGCGGCATACGCGACACCACGGCGCCTGTGGAAGCGGTGGACACGTTCGTGCTAGAGTACACCCCCGGGTCCCCAGATGACAACTCCGACACGGAGGACATTGGCGGCGAAGCGAGTTCTGCGAAACCGGGTATGATACTATTGTGTCGAGAAGATTGAGGAAAACTCGGGGAGGGGAGTTCGGTGTATGTCGTGGAGGGGGAGCCAGTTTGCGCTGTTGTAGCCTTACCGGCGGGTACAGGGCGGGTGCGCTTGAAGAAGGCTAGGAAGCCTATACGAGCTCCGCCATAAGGGCTTTTTGTCACTAGGGGGTTAATGCTTAGATTTAGGGTCGGGTTTGACATACCTTCGACAACACCGCCACCGGTGAGGGGTTCAGGATCCCCACCAAGAGCTAGAAGGCCGCTCGCAGAATCTTTGCTCTTTCGGCGGCGGCGGCGGCAGAGGATTATGGCTAGGATTACTATTAGGATTATGAGTGCCCCGCCAATCGCCGCCCCGACGATGACTGCATGTGGGGTGGGGTTTGTGTCGTCGGGGATTGGTCCCGAGCTAGCGTTAGTAGGCGAACCGGAAGCTGTAGCAGAGGTGGCCCCAAATGTCGAAGATGCAAAGGTGGGAGTAGGAGCAGGATCAAAAATAGATCGGTCGGCCCACGTCGTTGCGGTGATAGTAGATGCCCCCACCGGTCCCGTAACGGTCCTTGTTTTCTTACTGCCCGGATTGCCATACGCGTCAATAATGTCCAGGGAATTGCGAGCGTCGGGGGGATACCGACCTAGCCAATCCCGAACCGCTAGTACTTCCCGCACTACTTCCAGAATTCCCCTGACGTGATGACTGAGACGACGAGTCCGCAGAGAGCTGTGAGCCCGGCGGGCAACCCGCTGCCGAGCAGGCATCCACGGAGCAACAACCCTCCCAAGCGGGGTTTGCACACACGTACCAGTTATATCCACTTGGACATGTACCTCGTGCAAGCGCCATTTCGCTGGTTTTTCTGAAAGTAAAACAAAACGGTCGACGAAAGGTCGAAGGGTGTGGAGGGGCGGAGGGGAAGATAAGAGGTAATAAATGAGTTGGTGGGATAATAAGAGCAGAAAACACGCATCTACGAATACGTGCAATACAATGAAACCCAACCACACCGCACCCAGCTGCGGAGCGTGCATCGGGTGCTGCAGTTCTGGGTGGGGGCATTGGTCCAATGAGAGATGGTACCGTGCAGTACGAGCACAGTTGCCATCGTGGTGGATTGTTCCGTCGTCCAAAAAAGCACCGTATCGTGGGGTCCGGTTTCGATTTTTTTTTTTTTCCCCCCCAACACATGGGAATGGGAAAGGTAAAGAACCTCGCCCATCGCCCTGAATTCCGAACACTTCTCGCTAGATTACCGGTACTGTGATCCTTTGGCCGTCGTATCGGTTCGTGGCCTTAATGGTGTTGGGGAGCGAATGGTGGCACAGGAGTGCACAGTTGTTGGGTGTTGCACTCACGGAAGGGGGGGGAATGCACGGGTGAGCCAGTTGGAGATGAAGGCTTCGTGGAAGGTCTTGCTTGGGAGGGGGCTCCACGGCCCGTGAAAGATAGCGGTAACCTTAAACAATTAGCTCCAAGACAAGCGAGGGCCAACCAGTACTCGGGTATTCCTAAACGCCAAGAGTAATATCCCATACAAATCGCCATTCTTCCTCCGACGGCGGTGAAGCGAAGTCAGTACCATACAAGTACTGTACTAGGGTACATGAGTAAGATAGCAGTAGGAACCAGCCCCAAGGAATCGTTACAAGTACAAGTATAGTTACAAGTATAGTGTTGATGCCACTCCCCTTACATAAATTTTATCCCCCTAATATACTTGTGACTTTAGACTTCCCTCCCCAGAAACTACTAGGAAAACTCACCAAAGCTTCCTCCTACAGTACGTGTATGATACCAGTACTAGCCGATTTCAAAAGTATCTGGACACCTTGTCGCCAATACAAGGCTGATGGGTGCCAAGGCGTCCGGATACTTTAAAAATCAGCTAGTACAGTACTTCGATACAGAAAGGTAGCCCTCTTCCCGGCACCAGATTCGAGCAACCCCGATCAATGCAACAGGCGTGCAGGACAACACCAAAATAGCCATTCCACGGGCGGTCCGGCGTTGACAAATTTCGTATCGTAAAAGCTCTGGATATCCACTATCTCCGCCAGCCCCATCCTATCCTGAACACAGGGATTAAAATTTTGTATGGCAGATTGTCTGTGCGTGTCTATGCCCGTCTGAGCGGCCATACTAAGTTCTGACGGGATCTGACACGCATGTTCAGGTACAAGTACTTCAAGAGGGGGACTTGTACACCATCGGCCCGCTGGATGAGTGGGATCCCGTCACCTTCTCGTGGTTGCAGAAAGTGCTGCAACCTCCCCGCAAGATCCGACGTTTTTCACGGTCGTGGGATGTCTCCTAGTGGCCAAGCATCGCCACAGGACCGGTACTTGTATGTCTATCGGGAACATAGGCTACCCTAGACGACAATCTTAAATGAGTGCTTGAAAAAAGTGATATGAAAAGGATTCTGCAGTTATGCTCATATTTGGATCTGACCGCGGGCTTTGCTGCGGTTGTTCGGGGTTTTCCAGATCCTGATGTGAGAGCGCTTACGCTTACCGGTAGGGAAAGGAGCTCTGCGCATGCTGGTATGCCAAGTCGGTACGGTATGGAAGATGGGGCGGCTGAGCCGCGGGTCTCCGTAGTTGCTCAGGAGAGTGCAAATCAGTGCCAGTCATCAAGTATCACTCACATTTTATACGCATGCGCTCAATACTCTCTCTCAATCCTGTGTTAAATGCTTAGGGAGAAGTCCAGTATGGCATCTCGGTTCACGAGCTCTGCCGGAGGATTCTCGTCATGTATGGAAAAATAAACACTCTTGGGTAACCGATCTCGACGAGCTCTATGCAAGGAGCCCACTCAGGCTCACTCTCTCAGAACCATTTCCACCACAACAGCTCACTCGCCCCACCACTCCCCTGTCTACTCCGTAAAAACATTCAAATCAAACGCCCCAGCCGGTGCACACCCACCAGTGCTCTGCCCGTACTGCTTCGCAAACGCCGTAGTCCACCCACCCATGAAGGTATGGACGCTCCCAAGCGTAGGAACCCCGTCCCACTGCACGGCCCAAAGTGGCAAATCACTCGCGATGTCCACACTCCTGGAACCAAACATGGTCGTCCACTGATTCCCATTTGCATACTGCACGCCCACACAAAAATAAGCCCAGGCCATATCGGAGAAAGCACGCAAGAAGAGAAGGATGAGAGCAGGGGGCAACCCACGATCCCCCACTTCAATCCCGTAGCCTTGATAGCGGTGGCAAACTGCCTAGCAAGTGCAGTATTCTGCGTAGCACCGTAATTCCACCCCTGACATGGGGAACCCGGACCCGGAGGTTCCAAGTCTAGCCACAAACGTTTCACTATGATGTTGTTTACGGCTAGGAAGTATACTATCTCGCTCACTTGGGCTGCTGGAGACTTGCAGTTGTGTGTGGAACCCGTGCACGGGAAGAAGTATCCGTCGATATCTTTGATGCCTGAAGCGCGGATTTGATTGTAGCTTGTTATGAAGTTTGGGTCAATGCGACCGCCAAGCTGAGGGTTTGTTAGATTTTGGTGTAAGAGAGGAGGAAGGGGGGCTGGGAGGAGGTATACGCCGCAGGCTTCTTGGTACAGACGGGGTACACCTTTTAGGAAGGATTGGCCCTGCACGCAGGTCCACACGCTGGTTCCTTGTGGCTGGGAGAGGTCAAGGGCCTTTACGATGGCTTGGGCACTACCAATTAGTGTTCCGAGGGCGGGTAAGATTGTAGCAGCGAAGTGCATCGTGAGGTGTGTCAGAAGTGTTCTGCGGTATAATGGAAGTACTGCCTGCCCTAGTTAGAGTACTTCTCCATCGGGAGGACTGAATCAACTTATAACTAAAGCCCAGCCCACCAGCCCGCCATCTCCGACGTCGCGAGATCCCACTCGCCTACTTCAGATCATCGGCAGCCCCGATGGTGACGTTGTGTATCTGGAGATCAAGGCAGGTAGGCACAGCGACCCGCTACTCTGGCACTAACCTATTGGCCCAAAAAGCCATCAATCAAATCCCTTCTCAACAGTACTTCCCCTCTCCTGAACTGCACCAACCCTACACCTCAAACCAAAAAGCGGAGGACTCTCCGCAGCCGTCGAAAACCCACCACGGCAATCTCACAGCGTCCATCCATCTAAACGTAGCCGTAGCCCTAAAGTATGTCATGCTACCCCGCCTCGCAACATTGATAAATGACTCAATTCCGTGTTCGAAATCCGGGGTTTGCCCGTCAGTTCTCACTGAGGCCATCTCAGGTAGGTGCGGCACGGCACTATCCGCGACGGGATCATTGGTTAAGGCGGGTGAATTTGCTGCGTAAAATTGTGATATCGTAGAGTACTAGTACTACACGGAACCGAGGAACTCCGGCGGTGGGTGGGAGATGGGTAAGCCATTTGCTTGGGGGTTATTTGCGTTGGTGGGCTGGCCGGTGGGAGGGAGTCCGGGGTCGGTTGGAGGCTCATCAGTGGGCTGTGGACACTCTGAGATACCAGTATGCTGTACGAGTACTGTATGGTGCCAGGCTGTGTGACATCTGACATGTTAGTCTACGGTACATGTACTACCGGTAGTACTCGAATAGACTACCGGTATGCCGCGATACGGTCGAATGGAGATGAGGCTCGGTCCACGTGTGCTCGAGTATGTATAATTAGAAACGCACTTGTACTTGTGCCAAGCTCCTTCGGAAGTCTGAGTGGTGATGGTGGTCATTGGTGGAGGCATTCAGCCCCGGACCTGGGCAAGCCCTCCAGGAGCGCCAGGTTACGAACGAGTCGTCTGGGAGGTGAACGCCTCAAATTTCTTTGTCCGGAAATAAGAAATAGAAAAGAGTGAGAGGCTTGCAATAAGAAAGGAAATAAACCGAATTCGGTAACTAACAGAACATTCACTCCAAACCCTAAGTGTACTCGAGTATACGATCGGTGAGGCGCATGGCATCATGCTCCTAATTTACAGAGCACTGAGACCGGGGCGGTGCATGGCAAAGAGGGGCAGCACACGTCCTGCAAATATATCCCCGTAAAGTACCGGTACTGTACAAGTACTCGAGTACATGTAGGCTCTGCTTTCTATTTATACCAGCACCGGTACTCTGTAACCTAGGTAACACCGCCATCGGTACCGTACGCGATCCAGCCCACCGCATCCAGCCATTCCTCCCCGACTGCACCGGTACAACAAGATGGCTCTCCACGAGGGCACCCCCCGCTCTACCGGTAGTCCATGTATAATACTCTGGTGCATCAAGGGGCTCCTTGGGTAAAATGCTTCCTGTAACGCTCTTTGGAAGGCTTGTGGTTATATAGCCGTCCTCAATTTCTACTTTCCCGGCCCTCAAGTCATTTCCTTGGAGCCCTCGCTCAGAAATTCGGGGGCTGACTAAGAGCTGGCATGCTGGGACTGGGGTTTTTTTTTTGCCTGGCCATGTTGGAGTATTTGGGGGAGAAATACCGTCTGACCGGCAGTAAACTCTAACTAAACTGAGTTTTCCGTGCTCCCCGACTCTACCACCGAGCTTGTTCACCAAAGGCTTCTTTGGTGGCCGGCGGAGGCGGAGTGTGCTCTTTAAAGAGGTAATTAAGTGGCGGGTTGGAAAAGCTCCTCGCCGATCCAGTTGCAAGCGTAGTCTCTGCTCCGGGCATTATTGACCATTAGCGAGTGACATGTGGTGTATTGTAGGTGGGCGGGCCCGTGCCCGCATCTATATACCACATTTGTCAGAGAAAGTTCTCAACCATATCTGGCCAGAGAGGGAATGAATAGATGCTCGGAGAAGCCCTGACACCCTTCCCCCTCAAAACGCAATTTGACCCAGCGAGCCAGGGGGGAGAATTTGTCCTCCGTCTTTTCAAATATAAAGTACTGGTGGGCAGCGGAGCTCCACGAACTGAAGTCGGGTGGATGGCCCGATCCCTTCTGCGTGCACCAAGTGGCCCAGCGCATACTTTTGCAGGAACAATACTTCTTCTAATTGCATGTAATAAAGCTTGTGCCATTTCAAATGCACCATGTACTCATAGTCTGTAACACGGGGCTCGTTGGCGGGTTGGGCTGTTGGTGCCATTAGCCACTTCTTTGGCTCGACCATGTGTGAGCCCAAGGGCGCCCTAGATATCTTTGCCCGTACAGTGGAGTTCTGCGCATTTGTAGTGATGGCCTTTGCACCCACCTGGACTGCTGAACCAGTCTTAGGGAGAGTTTGCCATCGCTCGGTTCAAGAGCTGGATTCTGTAGGTGTCATTCGTCCCGAGTGTCTATGCAGATTGCCATTGTTCCCGGAGTTTTGTATATGAGGATCGCAATCATATGGCGCCCGCTCGGGTGGTATCTGGTTGCTTGGGTGAATTCTTGTACTCTCCAGCTCTGATGTAGTCATTCTCCCTCTAAATCTAGGATCCGAATCCCGGGCTATGAATGAATAGACTTTGGGGATTATCAGGAACACGGAAATTGCCCATATTTTGGCAGTTCCTCCAAGTATATATCGACCATCCTTTACTCATGCATCTTGGAAAAGCTTCCTCTCGGGCTTTCATTGCGTGCCGCAATACCTGAGGAGATTTATGTGTACGGCTTGTAGCATATTGGGGATCCCGGAGGGGATCGTTCCAGTATAAAAGCTAGTATGTTTGGGGGTATTTCACCTGGAAGTCTACGAGTGTGTATGTAGGCCTCTTGTTTCGCTGTTCCAAACCCAGATGCCGTTGTGGGGACTATCATATGAGCGCCCAACCCGAGCAGACTATGGATTGGCTTGAAGACCGGATCAATGACTAACTCAAGGGGATGGTTACGGCGGAGCCATCGTTCACCTCATCCGTAGTAATACCGTTAGTAGATATCAGATGCCTTGAGGATGATTTTCATGCAAGATCTAGTCCCTAAATCCGTTAGAAAGATCTTAGTAATACTAATCTTTTTAGCCAAACTCTTTGCAACATATGAGGGAAGCATGCGCAAAATTCAAAGAAAGTATTGATCGCGCAATCTTGCCTAAAGCTTCCCGTGCTCGGGGGCGTCCTGAAGTATCCTGGGTATTACTCGATTGCCTCCTTCTCGCATATCTTTGGACCCCGGTTGGCCACTTTCATCCCTGGAATTCGTTCGGACGGAAGAGTCTGTGTATTCTCTACAGATGGCAGGTAAGCAGCATATGCAACTGGTGACAGAAATAGAAACACCAACTCTTTCATCATCCGAGATGTTCAAACGTGGGCCTCGTGCTTCATTCAACCACTGGACTTGTATGTCCAATGCTTTCCCTATCCAGAGCCAAGTTTTAGCCCAGCACGAGTAAGACCCAGGGCCAAGCCAGAAAAATATAATAGAAATCAAACGGCGATGATATCTCTCCAGCCTGTGGTGCACAACCTTCCAACAAGTATCCCCACTCTCCCCTCCTGCCCGCCCGGGACTTGAAACCAAGCACTCGGGTAGCAATTTCTACATCAAAAACGTATCCAACATTCTCCAAACCAAGCACCAATGACCTGATTTCCATCTAATGGAATGTCTGAAAGAGGCCCACGAAGGAAGAAGGGACAAAAGGCGTTCAGGAGAAACAAAAACAACGGAACAGAACATACTTCTCCATCCAGAGGGGCAGCGCCGCAGTATGTTTGCATCAGCACAGCAGGGGTCTTAGCCAAAACCTGTCTTCTAATCTGCCTCATTGATGGGGGAAGGCTGGTAGACATTAGCTCTTGGGTTAGCCATCATCATTAGAGAGAACTTCCACCTAACCGTTGTGTTAGTGCTAAGCCAGGTAGATGGTTTAGTCTTAAGGCTAAGCAAGCACATCTCGGAATGCCATACCGGTACCTTGACCAATGCGCAGGGTAATCCATTTTTAGTATTACTGGCACAGGGACCTTGACAGGGTGTAGCGGTGCTAAATTAGCTGAATTTCCGCTTGTATGATACGGTTGGGATGTGTCTCGGGGACCTAACACGCGCACAGCGTACTCGCACGGGGCCGATGCCCCCCCTATATGTACCCCCCAGGAGCCGTGAGAGGCCCAGTACGGTAGAGCTATGGTACCCGGTATATCCACGGTGCTGTGGCGAGACGGCTCCCCAAAGCAATCAGGTCGAGAGCCTTATGTTCGGCTTACGGGAACAATTATGCGTGCGCAAGGACCCGGCACCCTGAGAATAACCACAGTTCATCACACTCCCTCACTCGGTATGCGGCTATGAAGGACATGGTACTAGTAGTGCCCGCTAACACCAAAAAAAGAGTCCCCACGAATCCATCGATGCTCACGACGTGGGCTGGTTTCGGTACCGGTCCTGTACCGTGCTGTGCCTTGCAAGATCTGTCGTACCAATTATACCGGTACCCTATTTACCGACCAAATCCACCATCGGGCATCGGGGGATCATGGGCTCGACTACTGCGTAACATGGTTTAGTTTTCAGTTTTCTCATCTTTCCGTGACTCATGGTCGACAATTTTAAGGTCTGGACCCCAACTTTTGCTCCCATTTCGCTCCGCAAAATACGAGTCCGGGTTCAACCTGATAATGCCCGTGCCGTTTTAGTAATCTCCCCATCACTTCTCGTCACTCGATGTCTTGGCTTGATTACGTTTATCATACCCCCTTGCTCATCTGTCGGGCTCCGACCACCCGATGGCGGGCTTAGTCAGTTAATAATGTGTGTATACTACCGTACTCGAGTGTTGTATCTTGAGAGTCACATAACTTACTGGTAATCACTACCGGTACTGTGCTCGTACCGTACTATAAAAACACCCCCCAGTGCGGCACAACAGTTTTATGAACACAATCCTACCCTTCCCTACCTCTCCATGGCAAAAGCTCCCTACGCACAATACCGACCGATACGGCAATGTACGGTAATAAACCACATCTATTACCGGTAAATTACGGTATTCCCTCCAGGAAACAACATCCCACAAATACACACACACCCCCTGTTACCGGTACGGTAATTTACTCACCCATCCCTGGGGTCCCCACCCGTTCGTGCACTCGTAAATTTACCATAATGCCTCACCAGTCCGGTCGCCGAGCATCACATAACCGCTCAAATACCGACAGAGTCAATTTCTCTCCGCGGGGGAGGGGGTAAAAGTGAAAACCCATTCTGGCGGCAGGGGGATTCTATCCATCCATCGCCCACGTGTGATACTGGCAACTACCTAAATAGGGAACTGTGCTTGTCCACTCAAGAGGTACCCAAAAGCAAGAGGGGGGAGTGTATATTTTGTAATTACCTGGCACCCGGATGTTCACGCCTGTCAGTAAAAATTGGAAGGCTGTTTATTACTCCTCGTTCCACGCAAGTCCCAATGGAGACGGGGATTATGTCTTCCGATGTTTATGGACACGAGTGCTAGTACTCGTACTGGAACAAGTAAGTTCCGGTACCCCTAGCCTACCAATCCGCCCAGGAAATCAAAGATCCAAATACCGTATGATACCGGAAATTCCGGGTAAACTCGGGCGGCCGCTATGCTCGATAGGGTAGCTGCTAGTGCTCTTAGGGCCGAATTTAGTGGCAGGATGCACTTTTCCGGGCAATGTAACTACCGTACAGAGAATAGTGGCGGGTGGAGCTTGCCCAGAGTTTACGGTACAGTACCTTGAAGAATACTCGCACCGGAGCATTGAAGGCGCTTTACCGGGATAATTTCGCCCGTGCAGACGGATACAGTACGAGTACTAGTAGGCACGGACGTTGGCCATATGATATATACCTTTAATCCCTGTTATCGGGTACCGTACTTACCAGGACAAGTGCTACGGCTGTGCTGGACCGTACTAGTACACCCCACCCATCCCAACAGCACCCATCCCCGCGCCAGCAACTTCAACCGCGAAACGTGATTGTTCTAGAAGCCCGACCCGCCTAACTTGCCTCTGCTGTACGAGTCGGCGACTACCCACGCATCCAGCAAGCTTCTTGCCATACAGGGGGGGGGGGGGGGTATGGCGTCGGAGCCATCAGGCGGATTCGGTGGCGGCCGGGATTCTGACCGCTAGCATTGCGTTGGATAAGCTTTGTTCAGATTTGTTGGACTAGCACGATATCTTATCGATGGGGTTGGAGTGGGTACCGACACAATTGTATGCGCATAATATATATATATATATACATTTTCTAACAGGTAAGGTACTAACTGGCAGCACGAAGGAAGGAGGGTGAAAAGGAGTAACAAAACAAAGAGACTGTCCTCGAGTGAAAAAAGTATTGACATGAAAGGGAATGGGAGGGACGACAATATGAAAATGGAACAAGAATCTGAAGGGGGTTTAAGAAACCGCCACTGCTATATTTTACATGTGAAAACGAGGATATCAATATCTCCCAAGCACAAACCCCAAAACCCAACTAGCGCCCCTCCAACCTCCCAGGAATCCACCCACGATGCCAGGCCCAGGGCAGACGCCCAGCAATCCCCACCCAATTCCGAACACCGCCGACCCGGCAATCAACTTGGAGTCAATTTCCTTCTTAGTGGGCACCTTCCACCCTCCCCTTGGTGCGGCATCCGTCTTCCCAACAATCCTCCTCCAGATCAGGAAATTCGGGAGCAATGCGAATATGGGAATCATGAGGAAGGATGGATCCCAGCGCTTCCCGCCGTCCGTGATCATGGAGTAGAATCCCAAAGGCTTGGTCGGGTTCGCCATACCGGCAATCATCAAGCCAAGACTGAAGAGGGCGCCTGACCACAGAGATGTGATTATCTCCGCCGTGCGTCGCGGGAGCTTGCGGAGGATGGGGAGGGAGATGCGTGTTATCGCCGTGGCTGCTGCAGTGATGGCGACTAGTTGCTTGATGCGGGTGGGGGCAGGGTAGGTCAGGGTGTAGCATGGTGTGCTTCCGCATGGAGACTCGGTGTATGCCCCCACAGCGGTAGCAGTGACGAGACACGTCGCCGAGAAGGTCACGGCAGCTACCACGGAGCGGAGGCGGCCAAGTGGGATGCCGCAGAGCATGTGTCCAGATGTGCAACCGCTGGAGTACTGCAGAGGCATGTTAGCAACGGCGCCTCAGAATTGAGCAGGTGGCGCAATGTATAACGGAGAAGAAGCCCACGAACGAACAAAGGTGGAAAATTAAAAGATCGAAACAGAAGAAAGAGTAGACAAACCTTCGTTCCAACTCCAACCAGCAATCCGCAAACCACCCAGGTCCATTTCCCAAACACCTCTGGGGCCCCGGCATAAGTTGGCTTCCACCAGGCATCGAAATACTGGGTCCCCAGAGCACTAATTCCCATACCAGCTAGCAAGGGTATATTATTCTCATCCGGTTTCCAGAACGCACTCCCCAGAATCCCACTGGCGCCCAACACTCGACCGTTTCCCAAAAGCAGATGCGTAGTGCTGAGGTGTAGCAAGAACGCACCAAACGAGGATTCGACGGGAGTAAACATTCAGGCAGATGAAGGAGAAGTTGTTCGAATTGGGCTGGATTTATGGTTCTAAGACACAGAATTGACTCTTTTTTTTCTTTCGAAATCGGTCTCCGGAATGTCTATGACGAAAGGTCGCCCTGACCCGGTCTTGTCTAGCACTTTGCGTAAAAAAGCAACTTCTTTTGGAAAGGAGCCAAAAGAAAAGAAAAGGAAATGAAATGAAGGGAAGGTTACTATTGCGCCTGCACTTTGGTGAGACAAAATATCACAGAATGGCTATCCATTGGGGGGGGGGGGGGTTTCTGATCCCTTTTGTACCCGTACTCGAGTCTGGTATCGGTACCGATATATCTTCGAGAAGCATCAGGCACGCGGAAAGACTTCCCTTCTTCACTTCTTCCCTATTTTCCTATTTTCTTTGTTTATTTCTTTTTACCACAGCAGCTCACCACCCCATCCTCTTTATTCGGCGAACACTTATAATAACGCAAGCCAGATCAGCGAGCCACAGAACTAGGGCATTCCCCGCGAACTAAAGCATTGATTTACCAGCAATAATAATTGGATCGTAGGGCATTCTGACTCCACCTGCCAAGCTGTATACCGTAAAATCCGGATCATGGAAAGCGCACAGGATATCATACCGCATCATATCGTATCATATCGCATTGAACCCCTAGGAGTGCCGGTAAGCTACCGGTAACTCATATCGCAGGATGATACGCACATAAGTACGAGTACTGTACTCGCATGCATTCAGCGCAAGAGACAAGGTCGCCGAACAGGAGGAAAAAGTAAAAAAAGGATCGACCTGGACCCCACGGAAGTAGCGAGACAAGTTACAGGTACAAATACCGTATCTCACACCCCGAGCGTGCGAGCCGGACACGGTGTGAACCAGTTATGTTATGAGCTCGCGGGGTTCTAAGCATGGGCTCAAGCCATGTACTCGAGTACTCGAGTACGTGTATAGTACAGTACAGGTGGGCGGGGGCCCGCTTCTGTCAAGCACGTTCTCAACGGCGGAACATTTTCTGATTGGCCTCACAATAGGAGGCTCGTGCCGGGAGGGTGTCTTGGTTGCCATGCTTTCGCTGAGGATTGACCGATGTCGGCGAGGCCGGGCCTTGGTTTGGTCGCCGAATGGTTTTTGCGTAACGACGGAATGTTGGGAGGGGATGGGTGGATGGATGGATCGGGAGAGGAAAGAAGGAGGGATGGGCGGATTGAGAACGGGGGGAGGCTACAAGCAGAAATTAAGGGATGCGGCAGTAAGGAATTTGGAGTCACTCCTCCCCGCGAGGTAAGGAAGTTGAATAATGAGCATCGTGATTACCGCAAGTTAATGACATTGTTATGATGGACATTGGGGCATCCCGTGTGTGGTATGCTCCCGTAACCGACGCTGTGATCACGGGAATACCAGTAATTAATGCTGCCACTGTGGCTCTATCATTGTACTTGTATCACTAACCCCACTAACCCATTGCAGGTATTTGTTAAGCGTTATTTACCCCGATCCGTCCTCCGTCCCAAACCCGGCTTGCGGCCTATCTCCCCGGCGAAACATTTCTACTCAATATCCATCTTGATGTATTGAAACATTTCGTCCCATTCCCTCTGTTTATGGTCAGCGCATTTCAGCATTCACAGGTAGCGATAGTGATCACGACAACTCACCCAATCAATGGGCGCATCCTCAACGTCCACTCCCTCCCACATATCACTTTCTCCTGGCGACAGCGATTCACTTGGTCTCTGCCTCTGCGCCATTTCCAACTCCTGCCTTGCCCTCCTTCTCCTGGCGAGCGCCTTGTCCTTAAGCTTGTCCAATTGTCTCCACACTCTCTCCGCCATGAGGGGATGCTCCCGCTTCCAAGGTTTGCTATCAAGGAGCAAGTCCATCGCCGCCCATGCCCTCTCCACCATGCGATCCGTGCCAAAGGGTGGCCTTACTATGAGCTCGGATAGCACGAGGCCGGTTGCATGTGCCTGGTTGTATTTTTGGAAGAGCCAGTTCCATTGGTCGTACCGTGCAATGTCACGATCGCTTACCAAGAATGCGGAGCACTCTAAGGCTTCCACCGCCGTCCGGAACAGTCTTCTGGGATCAGCATTGTTTCACGCATGGCTCGGGCGATAAGCATACTTGTCCTTTTTCTCCTGGTTCAACAGCGAGCCATCTTTAAAGTGTCTCAATGGGTGGTACAGAGACAGCAAAGCCCTCCCTACCATCAGCCGGATGACCATATCGGTTATCTTCTGGATGGGGATGGTGAGGTCCAGCCCTGCTTGATACTTTGTTCTTAATTTCGAGGCTAATTCATCCAGCATCTTTTCCTTCTCCCCCAAGGTGAGTTGTTCGGCTCCTTTGACCTTGCCCGCTCCGGGCGTAGATTTAGCCACTACCCTGAGGCAGTCCAGGACTTCGAAGCGTATCAGGCAGAAGGTCATCTCGGTGAAGCCCTTTCTCGGGATTATCGGATAAGCGGAATTGGGGAGAATGTCGGTATCTTCTATGTTGAGCGGTAACTTGGTGTCATAACTCCGGGTGGATATACCCGGGTCGGAGCCATGCTCCTCCGCTGTTCGCAGGTCGAGCAGACAGATTTCGTACCAAAGTCTCCGCCTGATTTCGGTTTCCAAGGGGTTTATGTTAAAGCTTTCCCCGTCCCTGTGAAGGCCCATGCTTTGCGCTATCCGAATTGCTACGCCGACGAGCACCCACGGAGTTCGGGTGTCATCTGGAGCTCGGGAGCAGCTCTTTGACCATTAGTTCCGATCCGCTCTAGGAAACGGGGTTGAGGGCTTACGATGAACAGGACAAGGGCTTGTAATGTCATCAGTTCTTCACTTTGCAGGAATCCGGCATTAGCCAGGGCAAGTTCTACAGCTACACGATATTTGTTTAGTAAGTAGGGTTTATCCGTGCCAAACATTTGCTGCACATTATCCGGGTGAAGGCTATTAACGGCGGCATAATACACTGAAAAGGCGAGAGCTTCAAAGCCCCTGTCGGGATGCAGAGGGTCATGCTCTTGTAGCCTCGCAAGCTTTGATTCAAAGGTTGGCTTGTGTAGAAGCCGTACTACTGGATCGACGGAGACGACAAAAATTTCGTACAGACGGGCGGCCTGGGCGGGAGTAGGATAGAAGGTTGACAAGTCTTCGGCGGGGGACCTGAAGAGGTGGGACAAGGGCATAACCAAGGTTTCATCCGGCGATGCTGGAGAGGTGGCAGTTGCGGGAGGCGACTCTTCAATGAGGGATTTGAGGTCGGCTACCTAGTTATAGGGTTAGAATTGTAGTCGTCGATGCACGCCCGCTCTTTGCCCAAACTAGCTAGAGCGTGACTTGAGAAGATCTCTGCCACCCACTCGCATGGTGAGACGGCGAATCGGGCCACCAAAGGGCCAACGGCGAAGGTAGCGGATGGAAATGGGGTATGGGAGGGTATGGAAGAAAGCGAAACCCACCTCCTCGCTCAAGCTCGCCCAGAATCTCGGGCTGATATATCTCGACTTGCCCTCGGAAACAAGCAACTTTCCCAACCCGGCCTCCAATTCTCCCAATCCCCTCGTCGTATCCCCACTCCCACCCCCGCTCCCGCACGCCTCCAGATTCCCATCACCGGCATCGCTCTCGCTCCCAGCACCGCCGCCCCCCCCCCGCAGCAGTGGGACCGCCACCGGTAGCCAGCTCCCCGATCACGGCCTCAAGCTTGGCGAGACGCTCCATGAGGACGACATCCCGCCGCGGCCGCGGGGCCGCACGTCTCGTGGTGGTCGGGTACTCGCAGGATAGACGGTTCTTGACGCACGCGTGGCAGGAAGGCCTCAGCTTGTCGCAGCGGATCTTGCGTGCGCGGCAGGATGTACAGCTCCGCAGGGAGTTTTTCGGATCGTCGTTCATTGCGTTTTCCGTTTACGTGCGTGAGATGAGAGTGAGTCGGAGGGTGAGTGTGTGGGAAGATGGAAGGTTATTTGAGTGGTGTAAGCCGGTCCGACACAGTGACAGGAGGGCCCTCGTAGCGGCATCTGGCATCAAGTACGGGATACGAGAATGGGGGTAAGGGGGGGGTTTTTTTTCCCCCCTCTCTCCTCTGCTGATCGGGTGTGTGAGCGTGTGCGGTGATTGCCGCATAATACGGAGCCTTCAGATACCGGTACCCGCTGCCCGATACTCGAGTGCGAAGCTCATCACGGGAGAAAAACAATAGTCCAGTGGGACCGGTATGCCGAGTTTTTCTTTTTCTCTCCCCCTATGCTTCCCCATCCTTCTTTTTCCCCACTATCCAAGTTTCAACTTTTGCTCATAGATTTATCGCCCTCTTCTTATTTCCCGCTTGCAGCCCTGGCATCCCCCTCCCCGTTTCCGCTTCCGGTGTTGTCTCGGTGGAATCCCCTACTCGTAACAGCTATGATACCGTATTCCGAGGCTTTTACATTATGATATCGTCCACGGTCGTGCGGTAAGAAAGGAAACCCCCACCAACCCAAAAATCTTGGTTAGACACCAAAAATGGACATTTTAGGCCCTGTTTGGCACGCCGTCATATAAAAAAAAGCTATTTTTCCGAAACTATGTGTTTAGCCCCATCACCTCCATTTTTTTTTAAAAAACTTGTTAAAGGTGATAGCAAGATTCATAAACCTTAAATTGCTGCGCTATCTTTCTTTCTTTCTCCTTCCCCTCCTTCCTTTCTTCCTATTTTTTTTTTTTTTTTGACTCGTGACAGCTTTTTGCGGTGCGATTGATTTCCCTCATGTTACTCAAGTTCCCCACTTTTCTTTTTTCCTTCACTGTGTTTACCTACCGTACGGCACTGGAGTGATTTACCGTATGCTAAAGGAAAATAAAAAGGATGGCATAAAAGTGGACGCGCCATGCAAAAAATGCCATAAAAGTGAAAAAAAATGGCATCTTCATGGCGCGCCGGACAGAGCCTTACCATTCAAAACAGCACACCCCAAGCGTTACCCGTTAGGGAAAATTGGAAGTCTGTCACTGGTGGGAAACTACCCCTGAACCATTTTTCCCACCCGTATTATACTTGCGCAGTACTCGTAGGAGCGCGAATAGCGAATAATAGAAGCGCGTCTAATATCCACAGCTGTGTGGACCGGCGCAAGAGTGACTTGAGATTTGTGTGCAGCTCTATGCAAAAAGGGACTGTACGGTACGAGTACTGTACGGTACGGTACAGTACATGACAACCGAATATGATGCAAGTGCCCCCCCCCCCACTTGAGTTATCGTGCCTTGCACTCACACTCACACTCACGCTCACGCCACGGGCCCATGATCTTGGCTAAACTCTCTAACACGGTACCGTACCCCACTTCTCCCTAGCATACCGGTGTGGCGCGAGAAAGGTTTTAGGGGTTTCTGGTCATGTTTTCTGGGTTTTTTCACCCATAGAATTTTCTGTCTGGGATGAGGCTTAGCAGGTGGATGTTTTTCACCTGGAGGCATGGCCTTGCCTTCCTCAAAGATAGAGGAGGAACAAGACAGCAAGGACCCATCCTGTACAACCAACTCCACCACCTTCTTTTACTATTGTTTCTGGGTGTTGTTTTCCCCCACTCTTTTTCTTGTTTTCTCACTGTGTTTGCTGTCAACTTTATCAGCATAATCTTATACTCTTATCTGATTGAATATCACATCATACAGTCATCACAATTGCACAGGTGTCAGCTTGGTCAATCACACCATCCAAATTACGGAAGCCAACCGAGACACTTCCACACCGGTACACGGGACCGACGATACGCCGTGACCCTAACTAGGGTTCCGGGAGATTTTTCATGGGCATTGGAGTTCTCAGGGGGGAAACACTGATGTTCTCGGTGCAAAAAGAGGGCATCCGATGAAAAACTCTTCCTCCACCATACATACCATCCATACTTTATCACACAGGACCGCTACGGTACTGCGTGACTGCAAAATTTGAATTTGTTTTTGCTTGGGTCCGGGGGTGCAGTAAACTGGCTGTAGGCATGGTATCATACGGTAGTCCAGTGCGGGTACGAGATGCTACGAGTAGGGTGAGTGGTTCGGTGGAGACGACGGGCTGGGCTTGGATGGCCACGTGAGGAAGGGAGGGGTATGGAAGGGCTTTGGTGGCTGTTCCGGTAATTACTCGAGTAAACAGGGCTGGCTGGGCTTGTTATTAGGGAAAGGGTCCGGAGGAAGGGTAAAAGCTTGTTTCTGCCCTAACCAATTGTAGTCGGGATAGTAATTAGGGTATTGCGCCCGCTAGGTTGGCTTGGGTCCGGATTGCTCGACCCAAATCCTCCCGTCGTGCAAAGTAAGCTGGTAGGATGGGACAGTATACGATAAGGATGGACTATGATACCAACACCTTGGCGGGTTTACCATACCCTATAGATCCAGACATCCTAGGGATAAGCCCGTCTTTCAACCCGCTGGACAGTGAGGCATCATACGGGCAGGACAGGATAGACACTTCGTGTACTGTACGAGTACTGTACGAGTACAATAGTCGACGGACCCCAGGTGGATCGATGCCGCCATGGAATTGCGTCAAGTACCCTTGCGGTCAGTGTCCCCCCGGGTGCCTGCAAAGCTCATATAAACCCAGCCAGCACTCACTACCATCCTCCAATAATTCATACTCCACACCCGTCCGAACTTTCATAGCCCACCCCACCTCTCCCCCATCCCTACCTCATCCTTCTACACGGGTAGCTACAAGTAAGAGGAGGAATTAAGTGAGGAGAAGAGAAGTGAAAAGAATGACCGGCCAAATCCCACCCTACCTCCTTATAGACATCCTCCGAAACCTTGACACAAGAGATCTGCTGAGGACAGAATCCGTGTCAAGGACCTTCCACCAAGAACTCACCACCCGAGCCCCCCTGCGAAGAATCCTCTTTACCCTACCGCCCTGCCCTCCCCCTGCCACAGGGGTGCCATCGAAAACAACCTACGACTTGCACCCCATATTTCGACTGGTAGACTACATACCCGACACCACGCCCCTCTGCCCGCGGGTTATTCTGAGGGACTCGGGAAAGCAAGTGTCCCGGTACCCGGTGTGTCTGAATTTTGCGTGCTCTCCAGCGTGCAGGAGGGTTGAGATAGAGCTGTGCGGCGCGGTTCTCGTGGTGGAGGATCCGGAGGGCGTGAATGTGATGGGCATTTTGCGGGGGTTGGATGAACTGTGAGTCTTCTCTTCTCCCGGGCCGCGTGCGTATATATGTGTGTGTGCGCGGCTGGATTAACGTGAATGGCGCGACGTACGATAGGATGGAGGAGAGACATATGAACGGGAGGTTAGGTTGGGATCATGTGCAGTTCCCGTATACCCCCCCGGTGCTTGTTACACGGCGGGGTGCATCTGACGGTAATAGCTTCGCCGGCTTCCGCACACCCCCAACACAGGGTACCGGACCCCCGAGATTAATCCCGGAATTCCACAACCTACCGGAAATCACTCGCCAGCTATCGCATGGGAAGACGGTCGCTTCTTCCTTAACAACTTTTTGAAGATTGGGTTACCACCCCCGGTATTCCTTCCTGTCCCACCAACCATCACCTTCGCCGTCGTCATCATCCAGCTCATCCAGGGCTTGAGTTCGTGCTTGCGGGGGATGGCCTATTTGGGCAAAACCCGAGTGACGATTCATGATCCTTATCCCGTAATCACGTGGTGTCGCGTGGGAAGAAATGTGTTGGCGTGTGGGGCCCTGATTTGTTTTTGTTTCTAGCCGGGGGAGGATGGGAGTTTTTTTTTTTGGCTGCGGTACGCTTGGAAAGGGTCTGGCACCAGGCGGGGTACGGTCAGTAGAGTAGATAGATCACCATAGATGAAAGGACGGAAGGGAGGGAGGGGTATATAAACTATGGCTATCGCACGAGGGGGGGGGGGGGCAAGTTGTTCTGTTTTTAGCATTTCATGTACCGGTAGATTTTATATCCTCACGTTACGGCTCCACCCCCCAACCCGAAGCGTTCCCACCTGCTACTTTCTGTTCGTTTGTCCCTTCGTTCAGGGTATTATATCACATTTTTGTAGGAATAAGGGAGTTTTTTTGTTTATTCTATGAGTCAAAGTAAATCCACATTGCCGCCGACCGCGAAATTGTCTACTCTGCACGAGTACTCGGGTACTGTATTGTACTAGTACTCCTCGAATGACCGCTCGAGTAACCCTACCGTACGCACACTCGGATATGTACTTCTTCCCCGTGTCAGCTTGCCTACTTACTCGTACTGGCGGCATGCAGTGGCTCGGGGGTTGGGGGGGGGTGTTTGGTTGCACTAGTACTCGTATAGTGTACGGGGGATGTGTGGCGGGCTGGGAAAGGTTAGTTGGGCGCTGGGTGTGCTGTACTGTACGAGTACTCGAGCACTGAACTTGCCATAGCAGTTTTGAGGGAGTTGTTGTTCCTGTGGGGGCACTTGGGTGAGGATTTTGCGCGCTGGGGATACGAGGGGGGCGCGGTGCCGTACTCGAGTACTTTACTCGTACTGGAGTTTGAACGGGGTGAGGGGAATGAGGATGTGATTTCTCATGCATGAGCGTACGGATAAAGTGTTTTGCGTTTTTTTTTCTTTTCATTTTTTCATTATTATTATTATTATTATACGATTGCGTTTTCCTTGTTTTGTTCTGTTTTTGGTCATTTTTTTTTTCTTTCTCTCCTACCTCCCACTTTTGAGATTTCACATTGGCTTTTGACCGAAGGTTATGAAACTGCGTTGGTTAGTGCGAGTCCGAGAGTGAATAATTATTGGCGGGGCCAACCAACGAAGGGGAAGAAAGGGAGGGAAGGAGAAACTCACAATCTAGTGTATGCGCAGATCGTGGGGTCCTTCAGAGCTTCTCGCACGCTGGCAACGAACACGTCCACTTCCTTCTTATCCCACCCGAGCACACGAGTAAACATCGCCAGCGTCAGACCCTCCGCTCCAATGATCAGCATCTCCTTCTGGAATGTGCCTAGCGCATTACCATTCTTTATTAGTTGACTGCGATTCAGTAGCCATTACAAGGAGGCCAAAATCATACCCATTTCCCTCATCCTGTCGCCCTGATCGCCCGCCCATGTTCTGCCCTCATTAGTCGCCCGTACCCATGACCCTTGCGCTCAACAGGGGGCACAAGTTTACCCAGGGACGTACCCAAGCGGAACTTTGTAAATGTGCTCGGTGACCCCCTTGAATCCAGCCTTCTCGAGACTGGGTCTAAATTCAGCTGCTGCGGTTCCCCAGTTTATCCCTGCTATGATGGTCGCCTTTTCAAAGTTGTCCACCCAGGTACGCAGCACATTGTCAGGTTTCAGGGACCCATTATCGCACTCAAATGGCCGGAAGTGGTCCTTGAGCTCTATCCAGCCACCCGGCTTCAGTGTTCTACAGCAGTTCCTCGGTCAGTTAATGTGCTGATTACTACCAGTGACGGGGCTGTACGGCACCGGTGAGCCTGGACATATATCCTATCCCAATCACGCACCGACCCAACCAGGTTTCGAATGTGAATAAAGTCAAAGTGGTTGTCGGGAAAGGGCCAATCCTCTTCGCAATCATCTATCTCGAAGCGAAGGTTGGGGGGGACGTAGCTGGGTTGAATGGGCGAGAGGTCGTTTCCGATGATTTGGGCGGAGGAAATCTGACTTTTCTATTCATCAACAATCATAATTCTGCCACACGCAAACAAACAAACAAACAGGTAAACAGATAGACATGGAACACAATGGTGCAGTACTCAGCGACGTCGATTGCCCAGATGCCTAATAATTAGCAACGCTCAACTTCCCCCTTGCAATGTGTTTCACACGGGACGAACTCACCGGTGCCCGTCCCAACGTCCAATATCTGATTTGTCCGTTAATAGATCTGATATGTATAAACGAGATGGGCGCATGTACCCTCTCAACTTTACTCTCAACCAATGGAGCGGAGTACAACCTTCCGCTCAGGACTAACCGCCAGAGGTGGTGCACAAGGTCTAATCGCTCTTGTTCCAGCTACGACCTATAAACCGAGTCCTTGAACAGAGGAACTTATTATCGGCACTTACCTCGTCATTGGGAAATACCTACCCCATCATCAGCATCACTGGATTATCAAAGTATTCGT